CAAAAATAAACTTAGTATACTTGGCCCAAAATACAAGGCCCACAAATAAAAATACAAGCCCAAGTGGGTCAACCCTAATCTATATGGGCTTTAGTCAACAACCTAACTAAAGAGCATTATGGGTTTTTCCTTTGTATTAGCCCAATCCTCCTCTAACCTTTTAACCATAGCCCTAGTGATTGGACCATTGGCCCATGGGCCTTTATCATCCCCTCCCTCTTGAAGAGGATTTGACCTCAAATCTAAAGAGTTCTCCTCATGTTCATCAGCCCCTACTAAAAGTGATAGATCAGATACATTGAAGTTAGGGATAACACCATAATCCTCAGGGAGATCTAGGACAAAGACATTATTAGTTATTCTCTGGAGGATTTGTAAGGGGTCATTTCCTCTAGGGCTAAGTTTGGACCTCAAATCTAAAGAGTTCTCCTCATGTTCATCAGCCCCTACTAAAAGTGATAGATCAGATACATTGAAGTTAGGGATAACACCATAATCCTCAGGGAGATCTAGGACAAAGACATTATTAGTTATTCTTTGAAGGATTTGAAAGGGGTTATTTCCTCTAGGGCTAAGTTTGGACTTCCTCTTAGAGGGAAATCTATCCTTTATAAGGTGTAACCAAACCCAATCCCCTTCATTGAAAATGACTTATTTCTTTCCTTTATTATTGTATTTTATGTATTTCTCCGTTTGAGATTAAATATGGTCTCAGACCCTTTCATGTAATTTCTTGATAAATTTTGCCCTAAATGATCCTTCCTTATGAATAAAAGAAGCAATATCAAGGAGTGGAATTAAGTCTAAAGTGTAAGTGAGTTAAAACCATAAATAATTTCAAAAGAAGACATTTTTATGGTTTTATGCATTACCCTATTGTAAGCAAATTCAACATGTGGTAGGTAGTCGTCCCATGACTTTTTATTACCTTTAAGAACTGCCCTTAACATAATTCTAAGAGATCTATTAACTACCTTTGTCTGCCCATCAGTGTGGGTGACAAGTGGTAGAAAATAATATCTTAGTTCCTAGCCTTCACCAAAGAGTTTTTCAAAAATGGCTAAGGAACTTAGCATCTCGATCAAAGACTATGGTTTTAGGTAGTCCATGCAACCTAACCACTTCTTGAAAGAATAATTTAGCAATATTTCTTGCATCATCCACCTTGTGGCATGGAATAAAATGGGTCATTTTACTAAAATGATCCACTACCACAAAGATGGAATCCTTTCCTCTTTGGATTCTAGGTAGTCCAAGGACAAAGTCCATGGAAATATCTACCCAAGGAGAATTGGATATAGGTAAAGGGGTGTAAAGTCCATGAGGCATAGTTTTAGATTTAGCTTTAAGACAAGTTATACATCTAGAATAATACTTTTGGACATTTCTTTTCACGTGGGGCCAAAAGAAGCCTTAGCCTAAAGCTACAAAGAGGATAGCTCAAGGCAATTTGGAGAAGAAACTCTCATAAGGGACTTTGGCTAGAGAGAAATACTCTAAGTGAATCACTCTCATAAATGCTCAAAAGTGAAGGATATACACGACATTAATCTATTTATATGCCAAGGTAGAGTGCCAAGGAAGCTAGGTTGGCTGAGAGTTAAATTAACCATGGTATGGTTAAGTTTAACTCTTGGCGCCAAAATTCAAATTTGAACTCTTAAGCCTAGATTCTCGAATCCCTCAATGTGCCACGTGTGGGGTTTGCATCTTAATTTGATTTGATTCACATTTGAGGTGAATTTGAGTCACACCATGTGCACCATCCACATGGCCAGTCACATGACTCTAAATACACCTTAAATGTGTTTCAAATTACACTAAACTCACATGTAAATATAATGTTTCATTATCTAAATGACTAAAATACATGGCCCAAAAATAAACCTAGTCTACTTGGCTCAAAATACAAGGTCCACAAACAAAAATACAAGCTCAAATGGGCCAACCCTAATCTATATGAACTTTAGTGCACAATCCAACTAAAGAGTACTATGAACTTTTCCTTTGTATTAGTCAAATTCTCCCCTAACCTTGTTAGCTTGTTGTCATATATGTATTATAATTTTCCAACCTTTACTTTGGTGTCACATTTCGTGGTTTTATTAATAAAATCTATCTTTATCTTTCAAAAATAAGTTATATTTGTGAATCAACATTATATATAGAAAAATTATTAAGGTAACTAACTCGATAGATTGACGTTGTAACAACCCGCCTAGCCGTTCCACATCAATCAATATCACACAGAATAGAGTATGCATATATAAAAGTAATATATATATACACATGGTCTAGCCTGGGGCTAAAAAGTCAATATGCAAAATACATCATCCTAGCTACACTAAGTAGCTTATCAACAATAAAACATCCACTCCATCTGTCAGTTGCAGACCTGCAACTATCCTCCAACCTAACCCTGCTCTGCTCCCATACACAGTATGATCATTGCAATCCAATCCACATGGAAACAGACAAGGGTAAGGTAGTGAAAAGAATTAGCATATATATATAGAAATTATAGACAGCTACAGCTTATCAGCATGTCATTAAGTTCGACAAGATCAACGTACAACACATCACATATACAACTCACATCATTCAGCAAAATCAACATCAAATAACTTATGCGTCGTCACGCATTTCAGCTCGAAGATCTCCTACAACAGCTCAGCCTTACGACCTACAACAGCTCAGCCTTACGGCCTACAACAGCTCAGCCTTACGGCTTACAACAGCTCAACCTTACGGCCTACAACAACTCAGCCTTACGACTTATAACAGCTCAGCCTTACGGCCTACAACAGTTCAACCTTACGGCCTACAACAGCTCAGCCTTACGGCCTACAACAGTTTATATTCAGCATTCAACATAGCACAACATAGCAACATTAACAACATAAACAACATACAGCACAGCTCAACTTTATATCAATACAGCTTAAACATCATACGACATTAACAACTTAAACAGCATACAACTCAACTCGGCTCAACAACATTAATCAGCATAAATCAGCATATTTATAAAAGGACACATCCGCGTCCAACGCAATAAGAGTTGCGCCCGGCGTGGACCAACCAGAGAGCTCCAAGGCTCTTATGCGCCTGGCACAATTCCAATTGCGCCATGCATGCTAGGAGGCAGAGACTCTCAAGAGTCTCCCATGCCTGGCGTACTAAACCCGCGCTCGGCGCAAGTAAGGCAGAGACCTCCCCAAGGTCTCACGCCCGGCGCAATATCAATTGCACCCGGCGCCACCCGTGGCAGAGACTCCTAGTGAGTCTCCATGCCTGGCGAGACATAATCACACTCGGCGCCATACTAGAACCCCAAAATGTGAGTCCCTGTCTGATATCACGCCCAGCGCGGTTCTCCCCCGCCCGGCGTGAGCCATCTAGGGGCCTCCATTCCCAAGCTTGCCCGACGCAACCAACCGTGCGCCTGGTGTGCTTGACCAATGAAACCCTCTGATGGTCACGCGCCCAGTGCCAAGAACTATGCCCAGCGCACTATCAAGCAGCAACCTTCAAACTTTGAAAATTTCTTCCCAACCCTGCAAAAACAAGCATCTCAAGTACATGCAATCCACTCAAAACATCACATTTTCATCAAATAGCTAAAAAATCACAACTTTATCCACATGCAACCATGGAAACTCAAAATCCCAAATTTTCACCCATTTTCCCCAAAATCCCGAAAATGAAATTTCCTTCCAATCCAACCATCAATCAGCTAAAAACAACCAACACTTGAGTTTCTAAACTTATTTCAACCAATCCAAGTGAAAAACTAACTTCCCTTACCTCGGAGGAGAAGAAATCCGACCTTCCGGAAAATGGAGGAGAAGAAGAAGAGGAAGAAAATCCAACACTCAGCTAACTTTGCACGGCTTCACGCTTGAGGAATAGAGAAGAATTGAGGAACCTCCTAAATGCTCACTACTTGAGCTAGAGAGAATGAAATTTGAGTAAGGAAAAAGAGAAAATACAAGTGAGAGAGATAAGCAAAGAGAGGAAAAGCTGCGGGGTCTCGTAGTGATCAGACATCTTATATTCACACATTGTGAAGAATCTGGTTCAATGACATGTATTAAAACTCGTTGATCAATGTCAATCACAATATTATACTAGATTGATCTTTATTAATACAGTAAATTGTAAGAAAACTCATCAGAAAGCAAAAAAATAAATAAATTATTAAGGTAAGTAAATGCCAGCAAGTTGAAATTTTTTATCTATCAAAATTTAAAATCATTATTAAAAAAAGTTTACGATACCTTACATACTCTATCTAAATAAGTTGTACTTTTTCATTGACAAATTAATATCTATGTATGCTTTTAATTTAATAAGTTTTGCATATAATAAAATTGATATTAAGAAAGTGAGATACATTTTTATTTAATTATAATTAACATAAAAATTATATTTACAATATTTTTAACTAATTATTAACACAAAATTTATATTAATATGAAAATATAATATAACACACTGTTTACACCAGTCAGAATGTGGTGGTGTTGGGGTGGTGCCGCGGTGGCCATAATTGATGACAGGTGTCTCGACCACAGGGCGCCAGTACACGTTCGTCCATATACCTCACGTCCATGCTATCAATCTCGTTTCTCTCATTTATTTATCTTTATTTTATTTATTTATTTAAAATATAAATATATTTTCATTTCTTTAAATTTGAGATAAATCTAGATTCAGTTATTTAAATTTAAAATAAATTTATTTTTAATCTCTTAAATTTAAAATTAATTTTAAAAAAAATATTATTTTCATTCTTATATTTAAATTTTATTAAATATTATCCTAATAAATTTAAAGATTAAAAAAAGTTAAAAATAACTCTTTTAAATTTAAAGATAAAAATAAATTTACATGAGAAATAAAACATATTTAAGTTTTTTTAATTATTAATTATTAATTATTAATTATTAATTATTTAATTAATTTTAAGTTTTCTACTACAATCTACATTACAATGTTGTTGTTGTTGTCTCCTCTCCCTGATCTTCACTGAACTAAGAACTCAGCAGCACCTTCTTCTTCCATTTTATGGCGTTCGCCCACTATTTAGTTGCAGTTCCCGTGGAACCCTCCCCAAAGTGCCCTAAACCCTCAATACCCAACCCAACGTTCTCGATTTCCTCGCGCTGTTTAAACCTCCCTTCCACTCTGCGCCCCAGAACTCGCAAACACTCGCTATTCGCCACGCTCCGCAGGATCAGGATCGCTCACAGAGGTGAAATTTTATTTATTTAATTACTTTTTCGGCGTTTGGAAAAACCGCTGATTTTGGCATTTGCTTTGGATTCAGCTAAGGCTGCGCCGAAAGAGCCCGAGGTCAGTGTGGCCAGCGATGCCTTCACCGAATTCAAGCATCTGCTTTTGCCTATTACGGATAGGAATCCCTACCTCTCCGAGGGCACAAGACAAGTGAGTCTGTCTCTGTGATGCGCCTCGATTTTATTCTTGTGACTCTTAATTTCTGCATTATTCATCATCGGACACTGATTTGTGGTTGTTGTGTTTTTATTAGGCTATTGCAACCACCTCTGCTTTAGCTAAGAAGTATGGAGCTGACATTACTGTTGTAGGTATGTTATAACTTTTTTTGTTGCACTGAAGTTTGAACCTTTAACCTTGAAAAAGAACCCTAGTGGGTTGGTATGTTAGTAACTTGGTATGTTTGTCTGCATGCCTCTCTATGTTGGAGATCCCAATTCCACGACTGGTATGGCCAAAATAGTCTATACAAGTGGCTAGAAACCATAATTCTATAAGTCAAGTTTGTAATGTTGAGTTAGGCATGTAATCCACTTTCTATTAGATCCTATCCTAGCGATTTTTATTGGGTTATTAAGTTACCCATTATCGGATTGCAAACTTCTCCTTTGAGATGTATAGTCCTTGGTGTGAAGAGGTGTTGGAGATCTCATATCAGCTAGTGGTTTAGTCAAATTAGTGTGTATAAGTAGGTGCTATCCGCATCTTACAAGGTTGAGTGAAGCCTATAATTCACTTTCTTAAGACTGGTTGAATACATTACCTGCTATTAGGCTGTTATCAAACTACCCGCAAATGTCCAGTTTGGAAACTTCATGCTTGAGATATTTAGTCCTTGGTGTGAGGGAGTGTTAAAGATTTTACATCAACTAGTTTTATAGCAAAAATAGTGTATGTAAGTGGAGAGCAATTTACATCTTACAAGCTGATTTTGTAAGAATGAATTAAACTCAAAATTCATATTATTTTTAAGACCGGATGAATTTGGAGAGAAAGAATTTAGAAGAGTGAAGAGAAATTTTTATTTTCAAATTGTTAGAGTTATATAGTGTTTATAAATGTAAACAAAAAAAAAAAGGACATTTAGTTTATGTTAATTTGTTATTTTATTTTAAAAGGTTATCAAATTAGAGAATATTTGTTAGAAATGAAAATTTTACCCATCCTTTCCTTATCCTCCGAAATGGTGCTCCCAAACACGAGGGTTGTATGTTAAATTGTAATTGGAAAAATACCTCTACATTATTTTGTATGCATGTTTGAATTAGTTTATTTTGGGGAAAATAATTGATTCTTTTTGTACCTTTGGAGTTAAGCTGAACTAAACATAAAGCACAATGGGGTTTATATGCTTTGCAGTTATTGATGAACAGCAGAAAGAGTCGCTGCCTGAGCATGAGACCCAACTATCCAGCATCCGTTGGCATCTATCTGAAGGTTTGTAATTGCTATTTTCTTTGTTTAATTTATTGCATTTCGCCTGTTGAGATCCTTCAAGGCACAATACAATAATACGTTATCTTATTCTGTGAGCATCCCTTCACAACATGAGCATTTTCTTTGAATGTTTTTGTATGGCAAGTTTGTTATGCATTGGTGATTTGTGTTTTTATGTATTAATTATTTTATATGAATTGTTCTGAATGGTCTTCTGAAAATTTGGTTATTTACAAAGTATGCTGGCTTTACTTTGGTCATGTTACCAGCCACGCTTAGTGGGAAAAGACTTTTGATGTAGTTTATTATTTAGGTGAATTCTGTTTCTGCACGATTTATGCATACTTGATTATTTGAGTTTACATTGGATACACAAGATAGCTAGTATAATAGTTTCATGCAGGCTGAAGTCATTAAAAGATTAGTAGGGATATTGGGGTCTTATTCTTAGCATTTTTAGTGGCACATTTATGCCGTGAAAGTTGGATTTAAATTAATGATTGTTATCAATTATTGTTCAATCAACTTGTTCGTGTTTCTGATAGGAACCCATTTGCTTTTAAATTCCCTAAATGATGTCTTTAGACATGAATGAAATGAAGTATTCAGTAGATTCTTCCTTTTCTCTGTTTTAGTTTATGTTATGCCCTAACAGTTTCATGATAAAAATACAGGTGGATTGAAGGACTATAACTTGTTAGAGCGGCTTGGTGAAGGGAGCAAGCCAACAGCAATTATTGGGGATGTTGCTGATGACCTTAATTTGGATTTGGTAGTTATTAGCATGGAAGCGATTCATACAAAGCATATAGATGCAAATTTACTGGCTGAGTTCATTCCCTGTCCTGTCATGCTTTTGCCATTGTAGTTTGCATTGTTTTAATATAGGGAACGGTTTTTGTTTCATCCGCTCTGTCTTCTCTGATGCAATTTGACATTCCATCAGGTTGTTAAACATTTGCGGCTCCAGTGTCAGGGGTGTTTTGTTAAAAATGATCTAGTGTCCTGACTCAGGTGGGGTGTGTATATATGAATGCTGAAGCATGACTAATTTTTATGCCTGAAAAAAAACCATGTTGGGTTTTCACAATTTCCTCCCTCTTCTGTAATTGGACTTAAAATCTGAAGTTTGAACAGTATAAGCCCCGTTTCAGAATGAACAATGATTGTATAATGGAAAACATTTCATTTGGTGAGAGCGTTCATCAACATTCGCCAAGGTGTTAATTTAGAGCCATATGCTATTTACATTTAAGTTATAAATTTATATTTGAAACATTTTGGCTGAAAAAGTAGTAGAGAAATAGCGCTTTTGCATATTGAATTAAATCGTTTGAGAAGAAAAGCACAGTTGAGGAAATCTAATGATTTTTTTTTAATATTAACTGATTCATTTGGGTTAATAATATAATTCATTTTAATAATATGAAGAAGAACTACTATTAACTGATTCATTAAAAAAAAATCTAATGCTTTTTTTAACAGTTGAGGAAAATAATGATTTTTTCAATAATATGAAGAACTACTATTTTCTTTTCTCTCTCCTCTATTTCTCTTTTAAAACAAGCAAGCAACATAGTTTTGTTTTTCAACTACTTCTCTCTTAAATTCCACTTAAATAAACAAAGGGTTTATGTCTTACCATATGAAAAGAAAAAGAATCATATTTTATTAGCATGTGAGAGTGAGAGATCAATAGGAGTTATTTTCGTTCATGTAAAATATTTGTAAAGAAGTTTTTGATTAGCCATAAAGTTAGAAAGATTCGTGTGACATGTGCATATCAATTAGAGTTGTGGATATTCATGTGGTGCAACATGGAAAATATTAAAATAAATAATTTTATAACATTCAATTGCTTTAAAAAAAATTGAGTAATCACAATCCATTAGCATCCAACTTTTTATATTATTATATTTATATTAATTATGTTTTTTTCTTTGAAAAAATACGTATTATTTTATTTCTTAAAATTTTCTCCATTCGGTATTTTTTTATTATCAACAATACATTTAATTCCATTAGATTTTTTTTAATATAGATAATTGAATACAAAACTAGAAAACCTCTCTTTACTATGACCGTGTGACCTTCCGCCTTAAAAATATAAATGTTAAAACTCTTATTTGGTCCTTTATAATATTTTTTTGTTTTAATTTAGTCTCATTTTAATTTTTGGTTTCAATTTGGTTTCCAATAATTTAAATTATTACAATTTGAGACTTCTGTCCAAATGATTTAAACGGAGTTAATTGTTGACCACGTGGATGCCAAGTGGATGCCACGTAGATGCATACGTAGCTGCCAAATTTCATGAATACACATGGAACCAGAACGGCCCGTTCTGATTGTACATGTTATGTGTTAATTTTGTAACTGAAACGAGCCGTTCCAAATGCAAATTTAACACACTATGAGTGTACCAGAACGGCCCGTTTTGGTTACACTATTGGTGTGTTAATTTTGTATCTGGAACGTCCCGTTCTAGGTACAAAATTAACATACCAACAGTGCAACCAGAACGGGCCGTTCTGGAATGGGTCGTTCTAGTTCCAGGTGTATTCAAGAAATTTGGCATCATCTACGTGGCATCCACCTGGCATCCACGTGGCCAACAGTTAACTCCGTTTAAATCATTTGGACAGAAGTCCCAAATTACAATAATTTAAATTATTAGGGACCAAATTGAAACAAAAAATTAAATTAGAACTAAGTTGAGACAAAATAAAAATGTTATCAGGATCAAATAAGAGTTTTAACTAAATATAAAACTAATTTCCTTTAACAACGGAGAAGATAAAATCCAGATAACCCTGTTTGATTTTGTTGACCAAGTTTGATGAAAAATACAGGCACCAATCATGTTAGTATTAGAAAAGGGTGCCGAATGAATCAAATTAGTTGTAGAAAAATTGAGTTGATCAATAATTAATTGATTTTACGTTTGTATATAGCAAGCTGTCACCCATTGGGGTTGAGAAATCTACTTAAACTATACCTGCAATTTACTTTATCACTTAACTGTATACATATCAAGTAATACTCATAAATTTGATAAATATATAGTTTTATTCATAAAAGCATCAACTCCTTAAATTTAACCTATTGTTAAAATAATAAATACACACCATTGAAGTAAAATTGTCTTCAGAAACGAGAAGGTAAAATCCAAATAAATTTTTTTTATTTTATTGTCCAACATAGTTGAAAATGAGAGTATCAATGTTAGCATTATAAAAAAGTACGGTTAGTCGCTTCGCTTAGACAAGGGATGCAACTAAAATATTTGATTTGATTTGATTTTCACAGATTTAGATTTTGAATTTTCACAGATAAGGGATGCAACTCAAATAAATACGGTTAGTTAGCATTAAAAGTCTAATTAGATATTTGATTTTCACAGATTTAGATTTTGAATTTAGACTCCACATATTTTAAAAAGAAGAATTTGAAATCGGAGATGTATTGGATTCATATTTCAAACGAAAATTTTAGTTAGGGATGACAAAAATATTTGCACTTGCGGATATTTATGGATAAAATTCGCTACGAATAATAAATAGATAGGTTAATTGAGTACTCGCGGATAATGGGGATGAATAATTTTTTACCTGTTATAAATGGAGTGGGGGCGGGTATGATGGTATCCATATCCGCGAGTACCCGTTTTTTAAATATCCTAATTATATTTGTACCACATAACCCTAAAACTACACTCTCTCATCTTTTTTTTTTTTGTAGCCGCACAACCCACACATTAGTCATCACACATTATGAGCAGTGACAGATCCAGAAACTTTAGATAGTGGGGGCAATACTTATTCATATATTTGTAATATTAAAAAATTTATATATAATTTTTAAAAGTATAAATATATTTTATAAATATTTTTTACAAGTTTTTATATTTATAATTACGATTAAGAATGAAAATAAATTATATTAGACTATATTATATTATAATTTAATATGTTTGAACCTAACTTTCTTTAAAAATTACATGTTCTAAATATGACATATTTATCTATCATAGATATTTTTT